AAAAATATAGCGTAATGCCGGAAAAAGATGAGTAACTACTTACGCACTACGTAAACCCATTTCTATGAATCAGCTCTCTGAACATTAATAATTATAATTATTTAACTGATTATCACTTGACTAAAATGCATGTTAGCAGCTTGAATATACGTGCAATAAAGGTAAGCTCCAAAAGCAACAATATGAGTATGGAAAAAAATTAAATTTATGCAAGTGCATTGTTAACGAATCGAAAGCTAAATGGATACATACTTTGAACATTGCATCTGTGCGCCCTAACTAATTGATTATTTAGAACGGTGTTGAGCGGCGTAAATGTCTATGAGCTAGCTTGACATGTGAGCCCAGTTGACTGACAAGCGTTGCACTTGAGCATTTTGTAGTTAACAAATATTAACACAACTACTTAGCTAATTAAATAGCAAATGTAATGAGTATAAAAACAAACAAAAAGTAGTTAATAAGTAACTAACAGGAAATCTATGAATCATATTTTCTGCTTTAAAAATATGTGTGTGTACATATTGCGAGCTTGTAGGAAGGGTGTCTTGTGAAAAAAAAAAACAAAAAATATATAAGAATACAATTCCATAAAGATGTCTCGTAAGAATCGCCTTTACTCATTTGTGATCAAAATAAAGAAGAAAATCTATACTATATCCCTTTTATAATCCCTTTTAGTTATCGCATTTAGTTTTTTTTCTTTTTTTCTTTCATTTACTTTCGTCACCCAAAACTGTTGGGCAATTTTTTGAAATATGTCGTTCTTCTAGCAATTGATTGCTCAACCTATTTGCAGTCTTGCCCGCGCTTACTGCTAACATTTTTCGTTTTATACCAGGCATGCCCAGCGCTGACAAAATTTTTGCACTTGCTTATGAAGCTCTGCCAGCGTTGGGCATGGCTGTTTTATACTTTGCCGTTGAAGAAGAGAATTTTTCACTGCTCTTTCACAGCTCAATGTACTTCAAGCATAGACAGACGACTCCGTTGATCTGGATCGGAGTTAACTCGGGTATTAATTGCAGTTGAGTCGGAATAAGTCATGCAGTTAATCCTCAAAATGAATGCGGATCAGAGAAATTCTCGATGGAAACACTAGCCAAAACGACAGCCGTTGTCTATTGTACATGTAAGCAAACAAACTAAGAGAGTTTGAATTTCGCGGTAGCCGAATGGTGAAACCTGTATACTAAAATTTCGTCGGACCCTAGTTCGATCCTCGGTTCGAGCGATTGCCAATAATTTTATTTTCTTTATGTCATTTGATATGTCAAATTTTATTTTACCTTTTTTTTGTTTAATTTTATTTCTAATTATTTATTTTATTATTAGATAATTAAAGTTTTTGGTGTGCAATTTTAGTCCACAGCTATAATTACATATATCTACGAATCTGAGTGGCAAAAATAAGCAGTTTACGCGTGAGTACAAGAGGGCTTTGCGGGAAGCCAAGAGGTCTTCCTCGAGGGATTTCTGTAGTGGCGTTGAGGGTACTTCCGAAACCGTAAGATTAAGAAAAATACTGTCGAGATCCTTGAACCCGAGTTTCTGCAGAAGCAAGACGGTTCCTGGACCACGACGGTAATGGAAACGGTAGAATTACTCCTGAACACACATTTCCCAGGCAGTTCGCAAATAGGAGGCACTTTATACCTTCCTTCGGGCAGGGTAGTAATCGTGCCTGTCACAAGGGAGAGGATTGCTTGGGCGATACAAAGTGTTAAGCTCTATATAGCGGCAGGGCCGGATAGGATTATTCCCGCGCAACTGGCTGCGATGCTTGTAACCTCTGTAAATTGGCTAATGAACATCTTCATGGCCTATTATAAGCTGAAACCGGTAAGGCTTCACATACAAATCCAAGAGATTTCAGACCTATTAGCCTTTCTTCCTTTGTGCTTAAGCCGTAGGAAGGATAGCTAGTAGCTAGCACCATTGAAAGTACACGGAGACCACGCTGCATAGTCTGGCCAGTTTTACTGAAAAGTCCTTCAATTACAAGGACTATTGTCTTGTAGTCTTCCTTAACATTGGTGGAGCTTTTAACAACATAAATTCAGAGTCCAAAATAAGTATATGCCTTGAGGGAACTGTAGATGGACGATTCTTTGTCCGGATAGAAACTTTCTCATGAGAATTCCAAGCCGGAATCGGCAGAAAACTACTATACTCCACTCGTTAATATAGCAGACGGTTCAAAAGTGAACAGTGGAGTGGGAGGGTGGCTTTTATCTCCCATATAATGAGGACTATAAACGAACTTGGTACTGATTTAAAATTGGGCTGTACTGCCACCGATCTCTGCAAGAGATGGCTAAGTAGAACAATATAAACATTTGGGTTCCCGGTCTTAGGGACATAGAGGGTAACAGTATGGCGGGCGAACTTGCGAGGGGGGATACGGCCAAGCATATTCTTCCGGACAAAGAACGCATTGGTATGCCCTTCGCCATTTGCCAGGTGCTTCTAAGAGAATTTATCTATGCTCGCGCGAGCAAGAGCTGGATGCAAACTACGACGTGTCGAATTTCTAGGCAAACTTGGCATAGGCGGGATCGAAAAAGATCCTGAAGCTTATATTCTCTAAAGAGAGAGGATATATCTCACACAATTGGTGCTCTGACAGGCCACTGCCTTATAGGTAAACACGCAAAACGGCTCGTAGTGCCTTAATTAATTTAATTTTCAAAAATTAATTTAATTTAATAATTTTTTTTAATTTTCAAAAATTAACGTCCTGATAACACGGCAACCACGCATGGGTCTATGATACAAATATTTTTTTAATGAATACATTTCATTTGAAAAATATTGGCGGACATTTTTTTCTGAGTGGTTGTCTTTTCTAAAGAATTCTCCAAATGTGTGATCATATCAACCCTTGACCGCCAAAAAAGTGTAAGACACAGTTTTTTTTTCAAAATTTTATTTTTGATGCAGAAATGCATCTAGACGCTCTAGGAACGTTTCTGCGTCAATAAGAAAATCTTGAAAAACATGTTTCTTACATCTTTTTGGCGGTTAGGGCTCTTTTCAGGTTAGATTTACAAATAAAATTATAACTTTTTCACTTTTGTTGGATATTATTAACATTTCTTAACTAAACTTTAATCTCAGGGTGAGAAATCCATTCTGCAACCCTAGTTGAAGTTCGATTTCAAGAAGGAGAACAACGTAACGCAGGCAACTGGAAAATCTATGCTTTCTTTATGCGGAGGGTGCTATATAAAGAGTGGCTTAAAAATCGTACGCACTAAGCTCTTCAGAAAAATCTCAATAAATAGCTGGACTAAGCCAATTAATGTAATTTTTTAAATGTTTTCTGAGCTCTAGAAAGAGGGTTCACAAAACATCTAAATCCCAAGAAATGGTTTTATTCTTTCTGTAGCTTAAAAGGTGCTTCTTTTTTCTTTGGAGAAGCCAACTGGTTTAAGAGAGTTTTAAAGATTTTTTTTTTTTAATTTCTTGAGCGCTTTTTTATAGGAGTTCTTTGTTTTTTTTTTGAGAGATGGATACTTTGATAATCGAAATGAGAGATAGAGATGTCACGATTTTCATAGAACACTCCTAGACGCACACCAAAGTCCAATTTGGACTTGTCAGTCTAGATGCTAGCAGCAGTCTCAGCGATAAATCCAAACTGGAACTGCACCTGAAAGTGCTTTCTGAAGTCTAATTATATTTTAATTATCTGATATTTCCTCTGAGAGTATTACTATGACTCTTCGTGGCTGATTGCAGAGTTCTTGGCCATTTCATGTACATATGTGAAGTTGTATGGCAATATGGCAATTGATGCATAATCACATTTAGTTGCTACTGTAGCCCCTGTATAAGCTACTCGCTGAACGCTGCTTAATTTTCTGCCATTGAATGTATTTACTTATTGGATGTTTCTTAACTAAAAATACTAATCACCATTTGGCCCTACCCAAAACCTTTAAAAGAAGCAAATTAGTTTTTTATTTTTTACAAAAACTGGTATGCCTCATAATCGTGCCGACATTAAATTTTGTCTTGCCAAATACATAAATATGCATATGCATGCAGAAATACAAACATTTTAATTACATTCTGAGCAACTCACAACTGCACTTGTATTAAATTAACGCAATACTTTGCACTTTATTGCAAAATCATTTTCTTATTTCTGTTTTGTGTTTTACTCTTTTGCCTTTTAATTCCATTGCCGCTATGGACTGCTCCGGTCGATATTTTTCTTTTAAATAATTTTTTTAACACTTGCTTTGCTTGCAGAGAGTGCAGCAAAAATCGCATAAAAAATAGTGGAAATAACGTTTAATGCAAATAAAACAAAAACAATGATGTTTCTCGTTTCCCAACTCAAAAAAAAAAAATTACAACTTAAAAATACTTATTCTAATTGTAAAAAATTTCCAGCGCACGCAAGACACAAAACGCTGGTGAATTTTGTTAAATGTATGTATGTATGTATGTATATGCATGCCCATGGTTATGAAGTAATAATACCTTGCAAATGAAATCGAATGTTAAATAAATAAAAAATTTCAAACACGTACAATTTTAGCGTTAAACGCCTTGGTTGGCTGGGTTGGTCGATCGATCGTTCTACAGCGAAATTTGGCAACGATTCCAAAAAATTCAAAAATAACAGCGAAATATCCTCTCAGCAACAGGTGCACGTGCGGTAAATTGTTTCGTTTGTTTATTGTTGCATAAAAAATGTTTAGTCTTATTGTTTTTGTTGTATTTTTTTATTTTTTTTGAACACACTTCAAAGATTTTAAATTTTCATAAACGCGAAAAAATAGTGATGCTTTTTTCTATATGTTCGTTGATTTTCTATGATTTTCTATGATTAAGAGTATACATATATGTATGTAAGCGACTATATCAACAATTTTTAAAAGCGACTCTAAAGCGACGGCGACAACGGCAAAGGCGCGTCTTAATTCCGTGTCTTGGCAGTTGGGCTTGCAATTGATTACTAACGTATTTTTATCACACGCCAACGGAATAAAGCTCAAAACGCCACACAGCGACAAGCTAACGAGTGGCGGCGCCGCTGTTGCTTCCGCCGCTACGAGCCAGCTCGCGCAAAGGCGTTGAGACCGGTGCCTCAGAGGTGGTGGCGCAGCGAAGGTGGTAAGCCAGAGATGGTGCGCTGACAATTAAGATACATATTAAGGTACTTTGAGACTCGGCTTGTAAGGCAGGCCAACAGAGATCGCGCTTGGGTAGAGCTCTCATACACAGTTGCTGACATGGGAGGACAAAAACTGAGGTGTTGTTGGTGGTAGCGTTGTTTGGTCATTGATTGAGCTAATATGCATATGTACATATGTATGTGGAGGAGACTGCTCTGAGCAATTGAGCGCAGCCACTGCCTTAGATTAGGCAACAGCGATCACCTGCGTTTTTGACTGAGTACACTCAGAAAAAAGTCAGCTAAATAGATTTGTCTCTACACATGATTTGGTAACTATAACCAAATCATGTATTGAGGAGAACATATGTATTTAGTTGACGTAACTAAACTCTTTTCTCAGTGTAGCGCGAGCACTTTAGTGGCCACTGCGCATGAGCGCCTTGTATAAGCATGAGCGAGTAGATAAGGCGTCAAGTATTTAGCTAGGCGCCACAGCAAATCGAGCCAAAGAGCCACTAAACGAGTATTCAGCTTAAAATACTTAAAGCTTAAGAGAAGTCGAAGTGTTCAAAAATTTGTTTAAAGCTCTTGGTAGATGCGTGCGCAGTGTAAACGCACGCGGAAGGTTTAAATGGCTGTATGCGTGTATGTGTATGTGTGCATGTGTTTTAAGTGCTGCAGCAACTGGCAGCCTTCGCACAAAACTCACTCGTATTGAAAGCGAAAGTGCGACGCGCTCAAATCCAGTTTTATCAGCTGCGGTTGCACGTTCAAATTGATTTGACTGCTTTTGTGTTGTTGCCGTTTGTTGTATTCGTTGGCTTGAAGCCATTTTACATATACACACGTACATATGCATGTATGTACAATAAATTTAGCTTAGAGTACAATAAAATAAAGTGGCGCAAAGTAAAAGGTTTTTAAGTTTTTATATTTTCTTTCGTAGTTTTTGGAGGTTTCAACATTCGCCTTCCTACTTATTTTTATAAACATTATTATTTTTTTTTTTTGGTTTTGCCTTTTTGATTATATTTTTTGATTACAACTTGTTTCTGTTGATTTTTGTTTTTTTGGCGGCTGACACTGCTGACATGGTTTGGCCCAACTAAAGGAAACTAGTGAAAAACAAAAAAATATAAAAAAATTAGCCACAGTAGGCGAATAATTTGTAACAAAGAAAAAAACAAATAAATATAAGTTCCTTTTGGCCACTGAAAGACATTTAGAATCTATTTAGATTATATGCTTGCCAGAAGGGCGATTGCGGTTTTGCATTATCTTGATACGCGGTTTTGTACTTTAATCGATGATATACAGTATCGGTCATATCTATAGTACGCCATTTCAAAGTGATATTGTGTGCCACTTATGTTTATTTATTAATTTTTAAGAATTTTCAGTTAAAATATAGTTCATTCTCAGACAAACCCGATACAAACCCAAGCTTAATAATTTGTAGAAAGCTACAAAAAAGTGCAACAAATTTTCACATAAATTTCAAACTCTTTTCTCGGAAGTGTTAGAATATTTTTGAGTACACGGTTTCTTAGCCACTTCAATTTTAGCCTAATAATGTGCAAATTTGAAGTGGCTACGAATTACCGTTTATTTTTTAGAATTTTTTTGTCGCATTGGCTTCCATATAATGAAAAAACTCTATTTATTTGTATATGGAAGAAATCCGCAACACCTTTGGCGAAAAAAATTCTAAAAAATCAGAGGTAACTTTTAGCCACTGGAAACTTGCACATTATCAGACTAAAATTGAAGGGGCTAAAAAACTGTGTACTCCAAAAAATTCTTACACTTCCGAGAAAAAAGTTTGAAATTTAGGTGAAAATTTGTTGCACTTTTTTGTAGTTTTCTACAAATTGTTACACTTGGGTTTATATGGGGTTTGTCTGAGAATGAACTGTATTTTAATTGAAAATTCTTAAAAATAAATAAATAAAGATAAGTGGCACAAAATATCACTTTGAAATGGCGTGCTATAGATATGACCGATACTGTATGTGTACATATCAAATAAATGTCGTATGATGATGTGACCGGTGTTGACATATGGTACGAATATTTGGGTAATGATATAGTAATGAACACAAAATAATACCCAAAATTAGTTTCCCCTTTCGGGCGACCCAAAGCACAGTGAATCGAAAATATTTAACGAGGCTTTAGGGCCGTCTTCTTCCTCTTCTCATTTTCTTCTGCTTCATCTTTCCCTTGCTCCTTTTCTGTTTCTTGTTCTTTTCTTCTTCCTCTTCATTTCTTTTCATTATTATTTTTCTTCTTTTCCTTTTTCCTTTGCTTTTATTTTTATTTTTATTTTTTATTTTTATTTTTTTTCTTTTTATTTTTATTTTTATTTTTATTTTCCTTTTTCTTTTTATTTTTCTTCTTCTTTTTATTATTCTTGTTATTTTTTTTTGTTTTTATTTTCCCTTTTTTCTTTTTCTTTTCCGTTTTAGTTTTCTTTTTCTTTTCTTTTTATTTTTATTTTTATTTTTCTTTTCCTTTGTCTTTTTCTTTTTATTTTTATTTTTTTATGTTTCTTTTTCTTTTTATTTTTCTTTTTCTTTTTATTTTTGTTTTTGTTTTTCTTTTTCTTTCTCTTTCTCTTTCTCTTTCTCTTTCTCTTTCTCTTTCTCTTT